TCTGTTTTGGTTTTATGAGTGGCTTTACAGGCAGTCTTGCCATGGTGCCGATCAGTGCGTGCCAGCACTTCCTTCCAGAATGGCCAAAATTGGGGATCTTCAGCTGAGTCAGACACACCTGCTGTCCCCAGGACACAGACGGGGAAGCCTCTGCTGGTGTGCCCGGGTGATTTGGGGCTGGAGGGTATTCGCTCTCGAGCAGTTCAGATGCTGACATGCTCTTTAAATATTTCTGCTCACAGATTTGTGGAGGACAAGGGGAATAACAAACACTGTTTGCATTTTTGGCAGCAGTTTTAATAAGCTGAAATGACTTTACCTTGAGTAAAGCTTGTGCATGTGTACATGTGGGAGAGTGCGTACATGTGTGTGTACCTGCTGTCATGGTGAGGACCTGGGGACCAGTTCCCTAAGCCCAGTTCTATCACAGGTTATACATCTCCCCTGGAGTCCCTGCAGGGGACAGCAGAGTTTTAACAGGGGCTTTGGTAACACTGTGTGCTGGGCACCCAGTCCCGTGCCATCTCATGTGGTTGTAGCTGTACAGCCCTCTTCCTCCTGTGCAGGGCTCTGCACCAACCTGTCTCTGAAGATGAACGTCCCCTGATCCCAGGCTTTGAGCGTTGGTCATGGATGGTCTGTAGCCAATAGCCCTCTCTTCAAATTTTTCTTCTTTCACTTCTAAGTTTGGGACCCCTGTTCCTCATGGGAGCCCTGTTCTGCATGTGAAGTCCCATTTTGTTTCCACTTGTGTGTGTTGGAGCCCCAAGGTAGGACTGAACTTTATGGGGCTATGCTGTACTTTCTCCTTGCTCCTTTTCCCCTCCATTCCCTGGAGATGCCTGCATCTCCAGAGCCAACTATGAGCCTTTCTTGAAACCGATGGTTTTAACATGAAATATGCTGTGTTAGCCCAGTTACTGAGAGTGAAGAGATTTATCAGATAAATCCCAGCAGGCCTGTACATGTTGTCACTGTCTGGTATAGTGCAATAAAAATATACATTAGAATAAGTATAAATACATATTTACAGTGTAAAAGTAAAGCCAGGAGTACAGACTCTGTTTTGAGCTTCCAGAATGCATATTAATGACTAACAGCTTAGGCACAGCATAAAATAGGGGCAAGTACATTTTAGGTCTTAGAAGAATAGCTTTGGATTTACAGCAGTGTAACTGAGGGCAGGACAGAGCTCTTCTCTCCTGGCAATAGATGAATTTTCCACTTGGACCGTTTCTTCTTTACCCATGATGGCAGCCTTCCTCCATAAACATTGGGACAGTGCCACAGCCCGTTCCCCAGGCTACTTCCCACCGGTGTCATTGTCCAAGGCTGTGTGTTCAGCGATGTAGTTATGGAGTGGGCTGTGCATTGCTGTAATGCCCCACTTAACTGAAAGCACTTTTCTTTTTAATGCTATAATAATACTTTGTTCTTCCTCTCAAGAACTCCAGGGACTCTACAAACCTGAGTGAATGACTCCACATCACCAAGAGAGGTGGAGAAATAAAAGCCCAGTGCAGTGACTTGCCCGAGGTTATAAACTGAGAACGTCTCAGAGTTTGAAGGGAACTGGCTCTTTACTTGTTCCAGTGCTTTGCTTCAAGCCCTCGACCTGGAAGGAGGAGGAAATACCTCTGCTCTGTTTGTATAATATTTGTGAGGTACTTGCATGCTATGCCAATGAGTACAGGTCACTTCCTCCTTTAAGAGAGTGGCTGGAAAGCAGAACTCTGGCCCTTGACATCGATATCCAAGGGCCATTCCTGACCATGCAGTGACACAGGATTGCCCAGGACAGCTCTAAGTCAGTATGTCCAGCATGCAGGGAAATATTGTGGGACATACCAGCCCAGATTCCAAAAGCAGACCGTCTCTCTCATGTGGTACCAAGGCACGGGGCTTATTAGCTTATGCCTAGTGCTGTGGCGTGGCTCTTCCTGGAGCTTGCTTGGTTGCCACCAGCCCAACGATCTTTGCAGCATGGTGCAGATGAATGAGGAATGCATTTAGAGACCCCTGTTATCAGCTAGGGATAGGAGCTGTTTTTTCAGTGTTTTCCTCCCACTCCGAGCTAAAAATACAACACAGTTAACTTGTCATTTGATCACAGTAAATGCTCTGCTGAAAGAAAATGACTTTAGCTGTCTGTTGCCAGAATTTATGACCTGGGCAAGTCTCTGCAGAAGCCCTGTCCAGGTTGAACACAGCTCACTGGATGCAGTTTATTTGCATGCCCCAGCCTTATCTTCCTAACCATCAAAGCAGAACGTGGTTACAGCACTAGCTTGGCACAGATTGCTGCTGCCACTAGCCCAGGAGTTCCCACCTCACTGCTGGTCAGTCTGATGAACCGGACTCTGCACACAGTGTAAATCCAGAGTAATAGTGACCTTGGAGGAATTCCTCTGGATTTGCACTTGAGCAGGTGATGTCAGATCTGGGCTGCTACCTGATGTAATTGAAAAGTGAGAGCTCCCACAGGTTTCTTGGTCACCTACTGGGATGTGCACTGCCCTAGGGTGCCAGAACACCAAAGCCAATGACGTGACTTTGCCAGTCCCCAGGAGAACATAGGATGCTATTTGAGCTTTATGAGGTGGGCAGCCCCATGCTGGATGGAGATGCTGGGGAGAGTCGTCTTCCCTGGAGTATGCACTGGCAGTGGGAGCTCCAGCAAAGACGTGGAGCCATCCCTCACTTGAGACTGTGTTGGGTCTCTCGGTGCCTCCGTAGATCCACCTTGCGCTGGAAGCCCTTGGCACAGAGCTCACAGCTGAAGGGCTTGAAGCCGGTGTGCTTGCGGCTGTGGGTGATGAGGTTGGAGCTCTGGCTGAAGGCTTTGCCACATACCTGGCACTTGTGGGGCTTCTCCCCTGCAGGGCAGAGAAAATAGTAAGAAATGCTTTAACACATGAGAGAAGGGAGGTAGAAATGCCCTTTAGCAGACTCAGACCTGACTGGCCGTGCTTGGGCACCAGTGTGCTGCCAGCCCAGCTGTCCTGCTAATGCATCTGCATTCTGATCCAGCACTGAAGGGTGAGAAGAACCAGAGGTACTCCTCTCCATCTGTGTGACCCATGCCCTGTCTGCATCCAGGGCTGGGTACATCCATGACATGCACCAGAAGCTGGTAAATAACCTCCTCCTTGTCACACAGAAGAGGACATGCATCTCAATGATGCTCAGACCTTCTGCTGTCTTATCCCCGGTCCAATACCTCTGTGTCTGGGGACTATATATGTGTATCAACATGATGGACTCTAATTTGCATTTTCTTATTGGGAATGTCTTGTTTCTCACCAGTGTGGATGTAAGTGTGTTTCTTCATATCCGACTTCTGGTGGAAGCGCTTGCCACAGTACTGGCAGGGATACGGCCGTGTGTCTGAATGGATCAGGAGATGAGTGGAGAGGGTGGAGGAACGTTTGAATGTCTTCCCACACATCTTGCACTCAAAACTTCTTTCCTGTTAGGGAAAGAAAATCATGGGATGTCTCTGGCTGCAAGACATGTGACAGAGCTTGAAGAGTGTTAAGAGTGTTGAGAATAGTAGATTTGATAAGCAAATCTCCTCAGCTCATGGACTGATAGGCTAGGTGCAGTACAAAGAGAATGTGGGGAGGGTTACTTATGGAAATGGATTATCCTGTGATCTAAACTCCTGCAGCCTTTAGGAGGAGGCGAGGCACAGAAAAAAACAGTAGAAATGATCCTCCCCTCCCACCCAAGGAATTCTCAAGGGCAGTCTGAGATTTGAGACCAAGATCTATGATCTGTGGTCTTCTGAGCTCCTATCATTGTCACTGGGCGCTACAGGAAAGCGATCACGTTTGTATCCTAGGAAATGTCACTTCCTTTGTAATGGAGTAAGCAACAGCTAAGGTCCAAGCACTCGTGAGCTCCGGAGAACTGGTTCTCTGGAAACATCCTGCCTACCTGTGAGTGAATATTGGTGTGCTGCTCCAGGCTTACAGCGTGTCCAAAGGTTTTGCCACACACTTCACAAGCGAAGGGCCGGGTCCCACTGTGAGACCTTCGGACATGGACCTCCAGTCCATGAGGAGTGGAGAATACCTGCCAAACAAAATGCCAGTGATTTTTTGATGAGGCAGCTATGTCTCCATTTCTGTTTTCAATTCCTTCTCTTTATTTGATTATTGCCTTTCATGGGCCACATGAACTGCATCATTCCTAGCGCCCTTGTCCCCTAGTCAGGAGAACAAGTAGGTACCCATTTTGAGCCGCATGCATTGCACTTTGGTGTAACCCAGTGAAACACTGACATATGCAATGAAAATCGCTCCAGGCCCTCCCCATCCCTGAGGTTCTCGTCTGACACGCACCTTGTTGCACTTCACACAGTGGTAGGTCTCCATGTCCGAGGAGTAATGCATGCTGTAGTCCAGAGGGGGCTCGGCGCTGGGCAGGAGGTGGCTTCCGTAAAGGCTAACCGGGTGCTCCAAAAGGGCTGACTGCATGGTGGAAGACATCTGTCGGTAGTTGTATGGCAAATGGAAAGCATCCCAAGAAAAGCCAGTTTTGTAGAAGGTAGGGGTGCTTGTCGTGTTAGTGCAGTCTTTCATCTGCAGACCTGGGATGGCCATCTCTGAGTTTGCAAAGGAGAGGGAGAAGTGAGTGTCATACCATTGCCTGCAGCTCGGCATCAGTAAAAAAAGCTCCCCAGGTACCATTCCCCCATTAAGTGTCCTGCCTGACCTTGGTAGTTGCAGTTGCTAACTCCTCCTCCTTTGACCCTCATACAAAATTCCTATGATGACTTTGATTTCAGTCTGAGGAAATTTCAGGGGAGGGGGGATGCTAAGGGAATATTAACTCCCCTACTAGACCTGTTTCATGTATCATGAACAAGTATCATGTGGCCACCCGCCTTGACCCACAGAGCACAGAATTGCATTAGTCCTTGATGTTTGGAGGCTCACTCACTGGGAATCATAGCATCATCCTTTAGGGAGATGCTGATCTAGACCAGAATAGTAAAGGGAAATACAGAATGCTCTTGAGGAGCTCTGCCTGGGCCAAGTTTGACCATTGATGTCAAAATAAGAGTTGAAAATCTGAACCCAGTCATAGAGGCTCCATAAGACAGCCCAGCCCTGACCTCTTTTGCAATTGTGGTCTTGAGTAGCAGACCTTGAGCTGAAGGGCCTGGCAGCATCCTGCTCAGGTACTGGACAGGGACGCTTTCTTCTTTCACTTCAGATGTGTCCTTTTGTTGTTTGGGAACCACACATTCTAGGTCCTGTTTCTTGATGTCCTCCGGTGTCTTGTCTCCTATGGTGGTAATCCCACAATAGAGTCACAGTTAGTTTATTCTAGCTGTTAAGAGAAGAGTCTATTGAGATGAGGTTTGTACTTATGTATGAACTCATGCTTGGATACATGAGCCCATGCTCAATTCCCTGAATAAGTGCAGAGTGGTGCAATCAGAACAGCAATCAAGGTCTGTCCATTGCTGACAAAGGGAAATTCCAAGCAGGATGAGATAGGTAAGGTAGAGGGGGGCAGGAAGAAATGATAGGACACTTGATACCATATATAGTTAGAGAAAATTAACCCCAGAAGGCCACACGTCTGTAAGAATAATTTCCCTATTTAAAACCATTTTCATTTGTGTGGGTAACTAAGAATCACTAACTTATTAACCTCCCCACCCCTCTGCTAAAAGAGTTTGGTATTGTTAAACTGAATTTATGGATGGCCAAGTAGGGAAGCAGAGGGGGGAAGGAACTGCTTACGCAGTTGCAAAGGTGACCACAGAGCCTCATCTCTTGCCCACACTCCCATTTCTCCATGCTTGTCCCAGCCCTTAAAGAGACCAACCAACACGTGTTAGAAGTAGACTTTATAAGGAATCTAACGCGGATGCAGGTTCAATACACGTGCCTCCTTTCTGCTGGAGATGGGACTGGGCTGCTGAAGGACAGCATTCATCTGCTCTCCAAACCCTCTTGTGCGCCAGAGAGACACAACAAATAGCCAAAGGAAGATGGCAGGAATTGAAATGAAAATGTCACCTCCTTTCTTTTTTATCAAACTTATCATAGGGCTGGACTCTAATTTGGTAGCCAGGGCTAGAACAAAGGGTAAGTTGATCCTAGATTTGAATACAGAAAATTTGAATGGTGCCTGAAGGAAGAAGATAATTGCCCCGGCCCTGCCACTGCATGGATGGCTGTGGGAGAGGAAGAACAGAAGCAGAGGCAGGACAGCAGACACAGACAGAAGCAGTGTTTGTGTTAACACAGTATGTAGCAGCCGGCCCTTTACCTGTGAGCATGCAGGACTCCTTTCACAGTCAGTGTTAGGGTATCACTAGTATTTTCTCACTCTAGCTGTAACCTTCCCTGTAAATCACTGCGAGGAGGTGGTAACACACAGAGGTAGAGGAGATGTAGGTCCAGAGAGAATGTGGACAGCGAACATAGCAAGCTGGAGATCGAGGTGGCAAAGCTGTGAGTTTGTAGAAGACTAACAACCAAGTGCAAGCTCTTTTTCCCGATTGTTAGTTGCCTAAAGTTGGCCGTCTTTCCCAAAAGTGACCAGCTCCACACAGCAATCTTATATCTCAAATCTCCTCAGCATAAAACAAAAGGAGGATCTAAATTTGTTTTCAGTGGGAGTGTAGATTTAGCCTAGAGAAAGAGGGCACGCAGTAGGGGATCAGTTTGTCCTTAGACTGACTTCCCCATGTGGAAGCCCTTAGTTGCTCTTAGCTCGCTCACCCTACTCCCTTAGCTTGCCTACTCCATTATTGATTTGCCTTGGTGTATTCTTACAAGCCCAGGGGATGGATTGACTCACCAATGAAGGGAGAGGTTATTGGATCCCATGTGAGTATAGGCAGGTCATCTTCCACAAAGCGGTGTTGATGATAGGTATGAGCCTTTTTGCTCTTCACCAAAAAGGAACGTGGCATTTTCCATTCACTGCCTGGGCAGAAACACAGAATAACAGCAGGTAACTCTCTCTGGTTTTGGGGGTAATTTCTCATTTGTTCCCCCAGCACATCAGCTCTGTATGCAGCAGAGATGAGAATTAGAACCCTTCTACTGGGGAGACAGAGTTCATCTCAAAGGTCCCTCCACCCAGTTGAAGAGCAGGGAGCGCTTGCTTGGGTTTAGGTGCTTCATGGATCTCAACTCGGGAAAATACATAGCTCTGGAGGGGGCTAAGCAAAATATCTTACTGCCAGATAGTCTCTGCCACTGAATGTAGAGGTGGGAATGCAGTTTGAAGACGGGATTACAGTATACACCATAAAAATTACACTTCGTAATCTACCCCTAGGTTGAGGCAAAGGATTACTGCTGTCTTCATATTGTAGGTGGAGAAATAGAGGCATGCTTAAATTGAGTGCTGTGTTACAGACCAAAACTGCTGCTGTGGCAAAGATACATCAGAACCCAGAATCTCTCTCTTGTAGCTCTCTGCTCTGGCTACAGGACACAGTGCATCTCTGACCTTACCCTCCCTGAGAGTTCGTAGTGGGGACTGCGGCTTGGAGATCACCTCTTTGAGAAAGGGTCCGTCTTAGTGTTTGTACCACACCTAGAAGAGCACAGTCCTAAGCCATGGCACGGGCTCCTCTGTGAAATTGCTACACAAATAATAATTATAGAAACACCACCAATAACAGGAGAGACGCAGCAGAAAAACCCCGCAGCCATGATGTGTAGTGTCTTTCCTTCTTGTTGGTCATCGCTCGAGTGTTTTTTGTTCTGTCTGACAAAAAACAGTCAAGCAGAGGCAGAGCAGAAGTGGTGGGTGAGAGAGGTTACCTTTTGGACCTGACTCAAATATCACAGACCGTTGAAACGACGGGTTAGGAACAAACATAAGATGCTGAAATTTAATCACACAAAATTCTCTTGCAATGCATCTGTTATCTTTACTACCCAGAACCCAGCCCGCCCTGGGCCCACTCCCCATGGCTGGTAACTGCTCGTGTAGGCAGTATGACAACAGGCTTGATGCTGCGTACAGCAATATCAGCTGGCGCCTTATTTGCATTTGTATTTGCATTTCCCCTTGTAAATGTTTAGGATAGTAGCCCTAAAAGCAAATCTTGCTATATTTCGTATGAAAAGTCAGCAGTAAGTCCTGGCACTCCGTTGATGGGAAAGTGCATTATTAAGTCCATTTATTTTTTTTTCCTGAGAGCAGTTGAAGTGCAGCCTACGTCCTTACTGAAAAAGAACAAACTTTGCTCCTGTTAAGTAGGAATGACCTGAAACATCTGTGTAAGTCAGGGCAGAACAGCGTGGGCTCCTGAAATCCCAAACAGCCAGGGATGGAGAAGGTCTGCTCCCTAGGGTTCAGAAGTGCCTGCAGTACCCCATATGCTAAATATAATTACACAGCCCAGCGGGGTGTTGTTTAAAGGTCCGAGGGCCACATTTACAGTGCTGCCTATGGCTGCAGGTACGCGTGTGGTGGGATTCACACAGCGAGGTCTGCTGTGGACAGGTGGATTGCCAAGCCACTGTCGTCGGTGACAGTCAGGCGCTCACCAGCCCAGCTGCCTTTGGAAATGCAGTTATAAGTCTTTTTTAATCTGGGCCAGGATTCCTGCTGTTTATTCTCTGACTTCAGGGATAACGCTTGGTGTCTCTAGCCATTTTTTCTTCTGAAATGACTCACCTGTTTTTCTTCATCTTTTTCCAAGAAATTTGCATGTAACTTGAGATGAATAAGAGAAAACAGAGGCCAAGAGTGGATTTGTTAATTTAATTTTAGAAAGAGGACAAAACCGTACTGAGAATGAACCATAAGTATGCCCTTGAGGGAAGGGACGCTGAAGTACATTGCTGTATTTACTCTTCTGTAACTCTCTAATGAGGTTCTTTCTAAGTATCGTAAAGTGTATCTCTGCCTGGCGAAAGGCTGCGGGCACAGAAATAACTCCAGCTCGGTACAGGCACAGGAGTGTTCTGCGGTGGACACAATCCTTCCAGCAGTGTGCTCTGCTTAGCCTGTGCAGCTCACATCCCAGCAGACGTGCTTAGCTCAGAGGGTCTCACTGCTCTTGGTCAGCCCCAGATCTGCGCATGGAGCTGCGCTCTGCAATATAGACGTGCCCCAAGTCCTGCCACAAGCCCTTTACGCATGGAATTTCCACTCTTGTCAAAGGGATTTTCCCATGTGGTGGGGCAGGACTGTGTCCACAATGGAGGGTATTCATACCAGCAAGCTTTAGACATCTGATTTCTCTGCCTGAATTAACCAGTTAATTTCTCTGTGCTTCCTACACAGTGGAGGGAGAGGCTCCGGCAGCGCCTAACTCTCAATGCAGAGTGAAAGCCCACCCCAAGCAGTGCCTGCTGGAAGAATCCCTCTGCCCACCGGCTAGAGGACCAGACAGCATAGCCAGGTAAATTAGAGGACTAGAGATGGGTGGCATAAGCAATCTTGCAGTGTCTTATGGTAGTATCCATACACTAAGTACACAAAGGCACCAAGTACAGCCCCTCTTTTCTGATGGCGGTTGAAAGTAGATACGCATGAATCAATGGGATTTTTCTGGATGTATTTGCCCCAGCATATGTAAAAGTCAAATTTGGTCCAGTATCTTGACTGCTGATAAGGGCCTCTACTGAGCCCAACGATCTTTAATGCACTACTGAACGTTACAAAAGGAAGTTACCTTCCCCCACCCCATTTTACAGAGAAAACAGGAACTGGGAGCCCAAAGCATAGTTAATTAACAACTGCATTGGACTGTCTTTGTGATTCACACAACGGGGTTAGAGGAAAGCTAGAAGCAGAGATTGTGAGAGAAAAAATACTATCTCTCCTTGAAACTCAAGATTATCAGTAGCGAGTGATCAGCTGCTACTAATGGCTAACTATAATTCACAGGGAAAGTAGTGCTACGGACAACAGACCCCGCTACGTCTTAAAGTCCCTGGTGCTTCTGACAGAATTTAGGTTCAACCTTCTGCTAAAAATTAAAATTTATTTTTACGGAGTCTGTTCTTGCCAGCTCCTGTGGCAGTGGTTTCTACCTTGACTGGCAATTGCACAAGGGAGTTCATTGCTTGGGCAGGAATGTCTACCCAAAATGCAAGCGTCACAGCATTTTTTGGATTCAATACAGAATATAAAATCAGTAGCCAGCTAGAATTGACATTCTTATTTGTTTGCCACTCATTTAGCTGTACAACAACATTGTAGTAATCTGCCCTGAGGAAAAGACAGCCAAAAGGACCCAAGGGAAAGAAACCTGCTTCACTATTTTGGGTACCTAACTTGAACCACCGTGGAAGGACTTCTTTTACCAGCTATAAATCCCCCCATCAGATCTGGAAGCGGACCCAGCATTCGCAGGTTCCCCTCCTATGTTCAAACTCAAAGTTCCTTCATCCTCAGTGATGCTCTCTGGTGAGTTTGCAGAGTATCACATGTAAAACCTTAATGTAATACTGGAACATTGGAGATTGTGCAAAAACCGAATTAAAAGAATGGTTGTTGGGTTTGGGTTTTTTTTTTAGGAGGTGGTTTCTGACTTCAGGATCCTTATTTCACTTGATCCTACAACTCCCACTTCACTGCATGGCAGCTCATGGTACCCGAAAAAACAGGATTGGGTCCTTTGATGCAATTTAGAAGAAATCTGTATTCTTGATGAATTAGACTACAGAGCTGTTCTCTCTGGTTCCTTCAGAGATGATTTATAACATGAAACACCGTATTTGGGACAGGTGTTTGCAGGATTGTGCCATGCTGAATCAAGAACCCAATTTGCAGCGTAAGTTCTGTTCTAAAGCTGACTTTCATTTTCCTCTAAATTCGAGTAATCCTGTTTTCAGATTTACAAGGTTAATTGAAGAGATGAAACCCTTTTTCCCACTATACGCAGTAAAAATACTTGATTTTAACGTACAATTGATATATGTGTTCATATCAATTGATGAGCGTACCAAGTTTTAGGCTAAAAGAGGCTTATTTCCTTCCCATTGCTTAATTTACATTTAAATCTTAATATTACTTTCTGGCAAAAGTGAAGCTTCCAAAAATAAAGAATAGTTTTCGGAGGACTATGTTTTTGAAGAAAGAAGCACAAAACAGACCAGAACCTGTATTTGAAATTTTAAAGAGCCCAAATAACATAAGAGGTTTTATGGACTCCTGACTCTTTTAATGTAGAATCATATTCAAAAAGAATTTCAGTTCTTTTCAACAAAATTAATCATGTCTTCACTAGCCCACCCTTGCAAAATCAAATGTACTTAGAGCAAGTAATTTGAATGTGTCTTTTTTAGTCAAAAAATGAGCAGAACATTTTTCATTCTTGTGGTTAAGACTGGACAAATGGACATTACGGCAGGGATAGCAACTTATGGTGGAAATCTGGTCCGAGAAGTGGAATGGAAATGCTTGTACATCTGTTGTATCTAGAAAAAATATTTATAATTGCAGTGTTTGTTCTTGAGAAACCTCATTTAGCTCCTACTGATGTTGGGAATGCCACTGGCTTTAGCAAATTTTGCCTTAGGCTTCCATGGATAAATAGACTTACATAGCGCAATCCAACAAATTCTATACCCCCTTAATGTATACATGCACTCACTGTGTGAACCTGCAAAGCATTTGTTTTTCTGCTTAATGTATTGAATCAATCTGGTGGTATATGAGAAGCATCTATAAATAGCTAAGTCCATATGCTAAAAATTGTTACACTAATCAGCATATACTTAGAAAGGATGAAAAAATAATAAAAGATAGATTTGAAGCAAAAATCCTGAACAGGAGAGACTGAATTCTCATCTAGCAAAACTGGCATAGATTAATTGATGTCAGCAGAGGTATGCTGTTTTCTGAAAGGTCTGGCCCTCTAAAAGAGCAATTAAAAGGAAAAATATAGTACAACCTCTCCTCAGTGCTTAAATACAAAAGTCTACATCTGGAAACTGCTCC